TATATATATATATATATATATATATGTATATATTCTTTTCTTCTGAAGCATTTTATTAGATAATAACATGCCACATTGAGTCATTCATCATCCTATAAGAAAATAAGCAAATAACACCCCAACAGGACAAGATGACCTTAAAGCAGCCAAGTCAGTCTTTATATTCCTCCTTCAGGCCACCCATCCTGTCAAAGCTGCAGTGTGGCTCTACCACTGCAGAGGGAAGTGGGGCTCAGCTGCAGACTGCAGCAGAAGGAAGAGAGCTCATCACTAAAATATTTAGCGAGTGAGTTCAATTTGAAAGTGTTTAAGGCTTGGTACACTCACTCACAATGTGCAGATGTCTGAGGAATGAGACAAAGGCAGCTTGACTTCAACTTTTTTTCCAATTGGCTTAGTTGCTGTAAATGTATTTCTTGCATTCTGAACTCCCCCAATCATTCTCTGCCCCATTATTTTTTTCCCCTTTCCCCTGTGTTTATCTTGTCTATTCCTGTCTCTTTCCTCCATCATTCTATCTCTCGTTATGTCTTCTTAAGGATGATGCAGTGTAGTTTTAGCTGTCAGCAGTGGGCGGCTGATATAATACTTTGCCAATGTTATGGAAAATACTGTGCTGCTTCCCATTCACAGTCTTAGAAGGTCTATAAGGATTGACTGAAGGTGGAGATAAATTGAAGTATTTTACCATAATGCATTTTTGTTTTTATCTTGTATGAGGCAATGTCACAAGATTTTACATAGGTTTTTGTCAGTATTATTTTAGCAGGTTCATCATCTTGTTTCCTTTTGCATCTGTATGTAGCTAAAGATGTTACTTACAGCTGCCAAACTTCAGTGGACAGGCATGAGCATCCATGGGAAAATCTTCTAGATGCATGGGACATTCCGCTCTAACTGTGAGCCTAAAACAGATTGACATAGACAGTGAATAAGAAAATAAAATGAGGCAAAGAGCAAATAAAATAAATCATGTGCCAAAGCTGATAATAAAGAAAGCATTGGTGACAATCCTGCTGTGGGATACAAAGTATTACAATGATGGGGCAGTTATATTAACGAACATGTGGTCCAATATTTCTCTCCAGGCTCACAGTGCTGGAGGAAGGCAGTTCCGACTGCTTGGTTTTTCCCCAAACCTAAATGTTCCAGTTCTTTGAGCTGTGATATTCTATTTTCCTTACAGCTTGGTAGAAAAACAACATGCCAGGCCACCCATGAAACACTAATCTCCCATCTAACCCTCATCTCACTCATCTGTGACACCAATATAGGCTCGGCTTCTCTCCCTCCCACACTCAGTAAACATGTTGAAACCTTTCCTCAGACATCTTGCATTAGTATCAATTTGTGGTACGCGTATAGCTACTTACTGATATTCCACCCCCACCCACTTCCATGGAAGACCATAACTATGCTCAGACTGGACATTTGCCTTCCTGCACATCAGGTCACCCCAAAAATAATAAATTGTTCAATATTTCTGGTCAGAGTCAGCTTTATTTTCATTGCACCGAAGCACAACAAAATTACATTTCAGTACAGTCTGTCCGAATAAAACATAAACAAACAGACATAGAGGGACGGAGATGTCTGAGGCCGCGGCCTCGTGGGAGGCACTGCCCTTTTTGTTTAGATAAAGAAAAAAGAAACACAAGGGAAAGGGAGGTATAAAAAAAATCTTATCTCACACTGTGTCTTAGATGGGACCCAGCGTGAAAGTTGCAAAAAAAAAAAAAAAACTGAGCACAGAAACAGCAACATACTGATGACATCATAATGCATATATGCATGAGGAAGGCCGATGAACTTGATGAGTTTGTTTGTGGTCACTGCCAGGTAGTCCCCATAGTTCTGATAAGATGGTGCAGTGTCTATCAGCTGGCTCCGCTCTGACACAGGTCCACAGATGTCCCTGGTAAGGGAGCAGGTAGGGGAGTGGGGGTGAGGGATGGAGGGCAGAGCTTCTCGTTCACATACTGTCCAGGAAAGATTGAGATAGTCGGCCAACACAGGGGAGCAATATTCAGATAACAACAGTTATTTTGGTCAGGTCGACGCTGCAAGATTTTTGTCTGCCTTATAGTTCTACTGGTATGTCTTAGGTGACTCCAAACAGCCAAATTTTGTGGTCAGCACTACTGGGCTGAGCTTGTAGCTTCTCCAAGGTTGATTCCTTCTCACCAGCGAGTTGCAGGATCTGCAAGTGGCCTGCGTTTCTCCGAAACCACGTCCAGCTTACAGCTCAGCTCACACAGCATTTGAGTCTGAGTGCTCACAGCACGGCACATTCCTTCACACAAACCAGGCAGCCTTACAATGGCCAGAACAGCTGCAGACATTTTTCACATTTGTCGATATGCCAGGTAACCACCAACTCAAAAAAGCAGAAATCCTGTTATCATAAATCCAATTATGTATGCGTCTTCTAAATCCACAACCGACAAGACGGATAGACACATGATATTCCACTGCCCCTAGGAATCCATTGTGTATCCAGCTGCAATTGTCACATCAGGGCAAGAAGGCTCTCCTTCGCCCTGTCTTCTTGTTGAGAAAAATGTATCAATTGCGTTGAGAGACCAGCTGATCAGATCCATGACTTACAATTCCGAAGATATGTAAAGAGAGGCTTTGATAGGGTTCAAAAGACAAAGAGCAACTGGTCAGCACTATGATAGAAATGTTAAAGTTTGGTATTTAAATTGCTGTGCCTTGGTATCTTGATGGAACATTTGATAAATAGAAATAAACAAAACAGTCCAATTGTGGCAAATCTTTTTTTTTTGTGAAAAAAAGGAACCATACATCACAGAAAAACTCAGTGGACATATTTTAATATTAAATTAAATTGCCTGTGTAAGTATTGTCATTTTTGGTTTATTATTCACACCAGATGTCTATTCTTGACTAGAAAAAAACAACAAAAAAATCAATGAAAATACTGCTGGGGTATATCCATCTGCTGATGTGAAACCCAATATACTAAGACTTATAAAAAGCATGTACATATTAGCACACATTAGCCTCTAGATTTATCAGGGTCCCCTAGTTTTGAAAATGGGCACCTGTGCTGAACATTCTCTATGCAAGTCGTAGATGATCTCAGCCTACCTCATGGTATAAAGCAGCGTGCCTTCCTCTTTAATCCGCAGCAGCTTATTTGGCATAGTCATGTTGTGAGCCACTGATTTCTTGCCATTGTGGAAGAACGTGTCAGGGGTCCAGATCTTGCTGGCCATCAGGTTGTTGAGACGCAGCACAGCCATTGGGCCTTTGAACTTTAGTCTTTCATCCTTCCAACTTTGTCTAAAGAACACATCAATGGTGTACTCCTACAGATAAAAAATAAAAAGACAGACAAAAACCTTGAACAAAAGGCTAAGCTCCTTGTTCTATTGGAGTTTATGTCTATATCTGCACACAGTTGATTTAAAGAACATGCAGTCTTATGTATGCTTGTTTTTTCCACATTTTCTTTTTTCTTTTTCTTTTTATCTATGTCATTTTGACTTTCTCATGGTGATTCTAGCCCAGTTGACCAGCTGGTACCTGTCTTTCCAAGTTGATGGCTTATGCAGATATAACAAAACTCTAGGTTCTACAAAACACCACAGCTGATGTGTCATTTTTATTTTCAAACTTTTATAATAATATATCTTCTGTCATTTATATTGTTTCACTAGTTGTAGTCTGACTTGTTTAAAACAAAAACCCATACAGGGATCTTAATTAACCAAGTATTTTATGCACTGTTAGGTAAGTGCAAATGATAATAACTGTTAACATTTATGTTTAAGAATCTGTTTTCCTAAGCAGTCAACATCACACTTACAAAGGAAGCAATAGACACAAATTTAGGGAAAGCGGGGGTAATTTCAAGCCAGCTAATGACTATAGCTGAAAAAAATATATATTTTAATTGTTCTGCATGACTGCCCACCAGAGTAAAGAAAGTCTGTAATAAAAATTACAACAGCCTGTTATTTGTGCTCTTCCTCCTCCTTCCACTTAGTTCTCGTAGATAATTAGTGTGAACTGAAACAGAGCTTCAAGGTAATAGAGGAGACTATACGGAAAGGCTACAGATGGAGAAAACCTTCTTTAGGACTTCCTTCTGGCATCAACAGAACAGCAAAACAGTCCTGGTCTGCATGTCAGCCAGTGCAATTAACTGAGATTATGTCAAACAGCGTAGACGCACTTCATGTGCACATAAAAGGAATGAGTCATTTGAATGAGATTAATTGCTTTCTGGTGCACAGTGCAAAGATCAGATATTTATGTAAAATGGCATACAGTATAGCTATTTCTTCTTCAATAGATGCTAAAAATGACCAAGAAAACCATAAAATAAGTCATTCGTAGTTTGATGTTTTGACTATTGAAATTCAACTAGTTTATGACAATCTGCTGGGAAATGATCTCACAGTGGACACAAGAATGTTCAACACAATAAGGACTGAAGACTGGAAATGATCTTATTTGTCGGACATGGAAAACATAGTCTGACTATTTGAGGTCTTTATTTATTCATCTATCAGTAGTTGAAAGTCTTTTTTTTTTACTTTGATATCTAGATTTCCTAAAGATATGAACATCAAAGCTCTTACAAAATCCTAATTGTGATAGTTGGTCTGCAAGAATATGGAGTAAAATGTGGAGGCTACTTTTTTCTATACTGTTGAACAGAAAAAAAAATAAAATTGATGTCAAATACCCATTTCTAAATCACATGCAGACATATTTGTGAGTATAAGTGAAAAAAGGTAGAATAGAGTTAACCAGTAAATCAATTTTATCAGTGACTCTTTGTGAAAAAAAAAAATATATATATATAATTAGTTAACAATTGTATTCATCCACTCAATAAAATCTTAAAGAACAAAGACATCTTAGTCCTGAGAGTTTAGAAGGCAGGTGTTCGGGCACAGAGAAATAGGTGACATTTACACTGGCAGAAGAAAAGTCTTACCATGTCATGGTCCGAAACGGGTCCGATGCTAGTCACAAAAATGTCAGTCTTGACTTCAGTTACACGCTCTGTTGAAGCAGGAAATTGCCAGAGTGAGTGACTATCAGTGCCATTCATTAGCCTCTAACTACTTGTTACTTCAGCTGGTTCTAGCCTTTGATTTATACAATTTAATTGGCAATATTTTTACACACGCATGCATAAAACGAAGACGTTTTATTTACGTTAACAGAAATGTTGTGGATACTGACTTTATTTCTTCTTTTTCTGCATATTTTAATTTATTCTCAAAGATACACTCAGTGAGAGGTGATTCATTTTGAGGGGATGTCAGAAAGGACTTGTGCGTGCACGTGTGTGTGTGTGTGTTTGTTCCTTTTGACTGTCGAAGCGATCTGTGACAGCATGATTTATGAATGTTCACCATCATAATCCATAATTTCTTTCCCTCAGTTGCTGAACTTTTAGGCTTGGGGATTTTTGCCTGTCTGTTTGACATTTGCTGCATCATACCATTTGATTTAGCATGTCCTCCAATTTTCACCTCTTGTCCTATCTTTTTTTTATCCTATAGCTTTCACTCTTTTTTTTTTCTGTTCATGTTCAGTTTTTTAAACTTGCCTGCTATTCTTATTGTTCATCTTTCCCTATATTGTATTGTTGACTATGAAGTGAAAACACACCCATATAAAAAGGCATTCACTCTGAGATACAACAAATCGACAAAAGCAGCAGGTAAGTAAGGGTCTTTATCTCTTTTGTTCTAGGATGGCATTTGCATATATATATATTTAAAAATGTGCAAACAGCTTTCATGTGAGACAAAATATATTCAGTGGCTTGGGTTTACTGACCTCCCAGTCCTGGCCTGAGGCGATTGTCATAGCCATCCAGAAGGCTGTCTAAGATCTTGGTGAACACTGTTGTGTTATCTTTCTGCTCATCTGTCATGCCGTTCTGCCCCGAACTGCCAGAGCAAAGATAAGAGTTAAAGTCACGGCTAGGGTCCAAAACCGCAGCCAAAACTGAAAGCAGAAGAACAAAACCCATCAAGCCCAAAAAAAGAAAATAAATCCTCTCCATATGAAGTGTGTGGTTAAAACAAGATACTTGATTTAGGTTTATTGCTAACATTTAAACACATTTTACATTGTGTGAACATTTGTTTTTGTTTTATTTTCTTCAATTTCAGAAAGGCTTTTTTTTTTTTTCTTCAATCAACTAAGAATGCTCTAATCTTGCTAATTTTTTTTGTCTGTTCATTTGAAGTAGATGTATTTGTTTACTGATGCCACTCTTTTAACATGATCTAAAACTATGTTTTAGAGCATCACTTATACATCCATGTAACAGCAAAGTGCACTGCTACATACAAGCACAAACACATGTTGATCTATTAGTCAGTGATCAAAGTGACAGGGAGAGAAATCAAATACAGTATTTATCATTTAATACTGTATTTCAAACAACAAAGGCCTTGCTGAGTGAGCTCTTTGAAGAACATGAAACAAAATGCTTAGTGCAATGCCGAAAACACTCACAGTCCGTAATTGTGAAAACTGTGCATGCATCAATATTTTAACTTCCTCCTATACGGGGAAACAATCCCTAAATACATAGCATGAAGGCATGATGTGACCCAACTGAGAAAGCATCGCACAAGATGCATGTGCTATCAGACGTTTGCATTTATACTAACACTGTGCAACTGAACAATATGGCTGAATCATAATCTCCTTATTTGTCACTGTAGACTTGTGTTTGCTTGTAAAGTAAATAGCAAGTTCAAAACATCAAAGTTCATGCTCAATATCCAGGTAAAAAAAATCCAACAATGTTCAGTCAGGTCATCTGGACAGTTTATTTTTTTGTTGAGATATTGTGTCCTTCATCCAAAGGACTTCATCAGTCCGATGAGCCACAACAAACTCAGTCTCACAAGCAGCATACTCATATTGTGGGCCAACCTGTTTGCTGGTGATAAGATGGTTACTGGGGCCCGCCATCTCCCCAGTTGACTCCTCTGAGGCAGCCATAGACAACGTGGTTCAAAACATCAAAGTTCCAAGCTATCCAGATGGCCTGACTTAACTTTGTTGGATTTTTACCTGGATTATTGAACATGAAATGTGATGTTTTGAACCACTTTGGTTATGGCTGTCTCAGAGGAGTTGATGGGGGAGAAAGTGGGCCCCAGAAACCATCTTATTACCAGCAAACTGGTTGACCCACTATGTGAGTGCGCTGCTTATGGGACTGAGTTTGTTGTGGCTCCTCAGACTGATGAAGTCCTTTGGATGAAGGATGAAACGTCAAAAAATAAATAAATAAAAATAAACCATCCACATGACCTGACTGAACTTTGATGGATAAATAGCAAGCGTCTGGAAACAAGCTATCCTAACTGAACAGCACCAAGGAGAAGGAGAGGTCATCAAGATTAGTTAGCAGAAACCTACTATGGGAGGAAAGGAACAGTAGGAGCACCTGCAAAGCACGAGGTTTAAAGCTCTACAAAAACAATAAATAAATAATGAAGAAATAGTAGGGGCGGAAAAGTTGGGTAAGTATGGTTAGAGATGGTCTCAATAGTGGTTAAACTGTCACTGTTGGCAGAGAAGCAGCTCATTTTAAAGCTGCAGGATTGAAGCAGATCCCACAGTTCTGAACTCAAGCTCTGGAAATGAAGATGCACCAATTACGTCACACATGGATTTGTATGAAAGGGTTCATGCACACATATTTCTCTGCCACCAATTATCTCCCTGTCTGCCAAAACAACAACAACAGCAACAAAAACAAGATGATTAAAAATACATCCAGTGCTAAAACGTGACGAGCAATTTTATTTTGTGTCAGCCCCGGAGGTAACGGCTTTGAAACACTCAAATTTAAAACAATAATTAATCTCCCTTATTCAAATCTGGCAAGCCAATTATGGTGAAAAAATAGACATCATAAATTGCATCCATGGGACACCATTTGAAGCTAAAATAATCATTCTTCTTCTCTTTCCCTTTGTATTATTCCCAGTGACTACATTCATGTGGGCACTTTAAGTTTGCCAAAACAGCATGAGCACATTTATAATGAAATATTTTTTAAAAGTTGCATCCTCTAGCTTTCAGCATTTAAGCCCCAAAAGTCGTTTATTTTCCACTTTATTTGTTTTACTTGTATTTAACAGTGGTGCAACCATATACCACGATAAATTTCAAAATGCCTTTTTAACATTCTGATAGAAACGCAAATAATGCATTACTCAAATGAGAACATGTGACATAATATCTTTCTTTAGGGTCTTTTTTTTAAGGATGCTTGTTAAGCTTTAGAAACTCACATGTGATTGTGTAGTATGATTTTTATTTCCATGATGACAATGATTTTTAAATATGCATTGTCAAAACAGTGCCTATTGTTTTTAAGTGTCTATGGGATGAAATATGAAGATTATGGTTGTTAGACAGGAATGAGAAAATAAAACAGAAAAGGGAGCTTCACATGTTTATTAGCCAGGGGCTACTCCTATCCTAACCACTGTACACCATCCCCATCTACAGGTCATCTGAACAGCAACACTCACGCAGCCGTTGTATCCCGCTCTGCCCATTTCTTACTGTAAATCTCACTTTTGCTGTTTCTCTCACTCTCTTGACAGCCGTATATCTAATTATGAGGCATTTTTTTCCGTGGCTACATCCTGTAGCAGAGTGCTCGGTCCGCTCAATTATCACGTCTTGCTGAAAATCCCCAAAGGTGTGTCCGTGAGTGTGTGTGATTCTGCGTTTGACTTCAAATAAAGGCGACTGGATTATACAGTAAATCTTTTGGTGATAATTGCTTTTGCAGCTTGCCATGACAGTCCCTCTGTACTGTCGCTGCAGCGCTTCAAAGCTTTGACGTTCTCCCTAATGTACAGCTCATCAAACCAAGTAAATAGGCCCTTCCATTTGCAGCCAGTAAATCTCAAACCGAAGCAACAGATGTGACCGAATACTTAGATCAAATCAATGCACATTAATGACAAACGTGCAGAAGGGTGTCACATGTTTAACACCAGACAAATGTGACTATCGTGCACTCATGGGATTTACACGGAAACATGTATGACACAGAGAATAGACTCTTTTTTTTTGTGGCACAGCTGCTGAGAAAGTCAAGCTGGACCATCTCGAGACATCTTTGTGACAGTTACTGAATTATTCAACGGTGAGAAAAATTCTGATCCCTTCAGATTGTCCAAGTTTCTGCACAAGGATGACAGTGACAAGATTTCAAATGATGCCATGTAGCTGCACCTTCTGATGCATTTTCCCTTAATTGTTGTTGTTTTTTTAAACTTATAAATGTGTAGTTGGCTTTCAAAATCCACATTTGTCCTATTAATTATTTGAAAACCACTACATACAAGTTTCTGCATTTAATTTGAATCACGTGGGAATTATCGCAATAGCTGTCTCATTGCTGTTTTCTCTAATCCTTTTTTTTTGTGTGTATTTAGGTATTTGACAGCCAACCCCTCCATGTTGGATGAAATGTCTGTACATTGACTCTGCTATCCCTGCAGCCACTGTCAAAACAAATGTGCAGCAATCTATGGCAAATATCCTAGTGCACCAAAAAAATATGTAGCCAGGGTCTGGAAACTGACAAAGTATGTTGTCCCGCACAACTACTGAACCAACGAAGGAGAAAAATAAGTCTAACACCTAGTGGCTATTTTGGATTATCATGTTTTGTACCTGTGTTGGACATATATTGTTTTAACTCTGTACTCATAAGCATGCAGGTGCTCCATGACCCACTTACAACTACTATACATGCCCATATGACTGTAACACCCCACCCTGCAAAAAAAACAACAACAGAAAGACAAACTGGCAGATGCTTCTTTGACTGGCTTTCCAGATACACAGACATAGTTACATGTAAACTATTAATTTGGCAGTAGGTCCCACATCATCTGTCCTCTATAAATAGAATATTATGCTAAGTGCATTCTAGTTCATGTGTCACAACACAGACCTAAGTTGTCTAAAAAGAGCCTAATCACGTAGCAAAGCATTTGCTTCCGATGTTTCAGGCTTCACACTCAGATTAACAAACATCTTTCTGGGTGTTTCTCAAAGTCATTAGTCAAAGTTTCTTTGTTTGTCATTCGCACCACATGTGGTACATGTGGTGGAACACAATTGTGTACACAGGGTCCCAGTTACATCCAACAAAAGTATACAGTAAATTGTAAAGAAAAACAGCAAGATCTAAGATATGGACTCAGAAATGCGCTAAACTAAGAGTACGCTAAGCACTAGAACAGAAGCAATACACCGATCTGTCTGAAATGTAATGTAATCTGTCTGTTACACTGTATTCTTACCTTTTCCCGCTCATTACGCTGCTGGTGACGAGCAAGCATGCCCACAGATGCAGCGAGGCCGCCCGGCTCCGTCCACACATAGCTGAAATATGAGGACCTTTCACTGCTGGAGGTTAAAGACAGAGAAAACGAGCATCACCACCGTGTCATACGGACCTGTACATCATCATATCCAATATTTCACCTCGTAAAAGCGTCAGTGCATGAGATGTGCTGAAAGACAGAGCAAATGTGGATGAGCAGGCTGTCTGTGTTGCTTTACGAGGGTTTTTTTGATCCTGGGTCTAAACTCACTGACAGCAAACGACACAAATCAAAATGCCCCCCACCCCACAATGCCACTTGGCACACACAAGCATCGATCATTCAGCACCATTCATATTAATTAGCTATATTGACAAAGGCATAATCTTTTGCCCTATAAGAGAAAACCAAACCCGAGCAGCTCAAGGTTTTCCATGAGCACACAGAGGAAGGTGTGTGTGGATGCACTTTCAGAGCAGACGCTCAGAGCATACGGTGTGGCTGCATCTGTAGCGCATGATGATTAGGAAAGAAACAACAAGGCAACACGCCATCGAGCACACACAGCACCCTGTAAGAGCTTGTAGCAGCTGTGAGCATCCTTCTCTGATACTCTGCAGAGTGAAGCAGCGGCACCACATCCAGCCAAATCTCTGCTGAAATGAGACCATTTTCTTCCTGCTGAAACACTCAGCCATGATGTCAGCTGCTCACAAAGTGGGCATGCAGCACTCTCCCGTACTGTGCACGCAAACGCTAAAACCCTCAATCCATTCTGGAAAGCCTAACCAGTGCGTCCACGAGAGGGCCGGTTGCTTGATTATAAAACAAGCCCTTATAAAACAGCAGACCTCCGATCACTTGCTGATGGGGGGGGGGGGGGGGGGGGGGG